CTCTCTCTCTCTCTCTCTCTCTCTCTCTCTCTCTCTCTCTCTCTTTTGCTTTTTAGTGAGGCAATCAGGGTTAAGTGACTTACCCAGGGTCACATAGCTAGTTAAGTGTCAAGTGTCTGAGTCCAGATTTGAACTTAGGTCCTCCTGACTCCAAGGCCAGAGCTCTATCCACTGCACCACCTAGCTGCCCCCTTCATAGACTTCTTAAACCCAGTATGTTCAAAAGTAAACTTATTATCTTCCCTTTAGCCAAACGCTCCCCTCTTTCTAACTTCCCTATTACCTATTCCCTATCAAGGGCACCACCATCTTCCCAGTTACCCAAGATCAAAACCTAGGCGTCATCCTTGGCCCTTCTCTCTCTTCTCATCCCCTATATCTAATCAGCTGGAAAGGCCTGTCAGTTTTACCTTTGTAACCTCTTTCCTTCCCTCCTCTGACACTGGTCCCACTCTGGCACAGGCCCTCATCACCTCCCACCTGGACTACTGGAGCAGCTTCCCTGTCTCAAGTCTGTCTGCTCCACTCCATCCTCCACTTCTCCTAAAGTAAAAGCCTGATAGTCTCAGGCCCCGCCACACTCAATTCAATCCATCCCAACAGCTCTCTATTACCTCCAGGATCAAATATCAAATCCTGTTTAGCTTTTAGAGCCTTCTGGAACCCAATTCCTTCCTCCCTTCTCACTCCTCATATCCACCCCCTCCTCATCATGTTCTTTTTGATCCAGCAACACCGGTTTGCTTGCTGTCTTTCCTCCCCACAACGGACATTTTCATTGTTGTCCCCCATACCTGAAACTCTCCCTCCTCAGTGGTGCCTCCTGGCTTTCCCGGTGATCCAGGCTTTCTCCAAGTCTCAGCTAAAACCCCACCCTCTCCAAGAGCCTCTCCTATACATACAGCTTGTTTGGACATAATTGTTTGCGCATTTCCTCCTTCATTAGACTGAGTTTCTTGAGAGCAGGGACTGGGTTTAACTTTCCTTTGTATCCTACTTAGCACAGTCCCTGACACATAGTAGGTACTTAATAAATGCTTGTTGACTGACTATTACAATAACCCCACAGAGTTGTTTCAAGGATCAAATGAGTTAACAGAGGCAAAGCACCTGACAAACATCAAAGCACTATATTAAATGCTAGCTATTATTATAACGTCAATCACTCTCCCTGTTTCCACAACTCTCCCTCTCCAATTCAGTCTCCACACAGCTGACAAAATCATCTTCCTAAGGCACAGATATAACTCTGCCACTCAAGAAACTTCAGTGGCTCCCTACTGCCTCTGAGGGAAAAAAAGGGGGGGGGGGTATTTAAAGCCCTTTACAGTCTAGCTCTAGCCTGCTTTTCCCAAGGTTATCACACAGCACTTTACCTTACAACCATATCGGTCCACTTGTTTCCTCAGACTCAGTTTTCCACCTCCCATCTCTGCACCTTTATACCAGCTATCCCTCATGCCTGGTATGCCCTCCCTCCTCACCTCTGCCTCTTAGGAAACCTTCCTTCAGTGCTTATCTCAGGTGCCATCTTCTACAGGAAGTCCTTCTTGATCCCCACCTCTCTGTTAGCACTCCCTCCCTCCTCCCGCCATCTGCTGTTTCCCTATTTGTACCCCAAGTGGAATACAAGCTCCTCAGGACAGGGACTGCTTGTTCTTGTCATTGTAAACCCCACACCTAGTCCATTGTAGAAGCCTAATAAAAGATTTTTTTTAACATCAGAGCAGGGGTGCCAGGGGAAGAATTGAGTAGATGAAAGGAGGGATGGCAGTCCTAGGAATCCCATCAAGAACAGTCATCCTCACCCCAATAAGCTCTGAGTCTGAGAGCCTTTGGTGGGGGTTTAGCACACACACACACACACACACACACAAACACACACATACACATAAACACACACCTCAAGAATCCCCAAACACTCTTGGAGGAACCTGCAAGACAACCTCTGGGCCCTACCCTGTCCCCCAACATGCTCTGCGCACACACATAGAGATACACTGAAGATACACAGAAGCACAACACAAAGATGTGGGTCTGGAGGATGAAGGGAAAGACCCAGGAATCAGCAGGTGCCTGCAAAAGAGCTCAGGAGGAGGATGTCCAAGGAGTGTCATTTCTAACTATAGGAGCCTAAAAGGGGCCAGTGCTGAGGGAGCCCCACCCACCAGCGCCAGACACTGGACAGGGTGCCCCCCCAATAATCACCCCCATACCCCCACCGCCCACCGTAAGGCACACACATGCACCAAGCACCACACACCTGCAGTCACCTACCCACAAGGGTACACACAGACACCCCCCAAGGCCCCACCCGGGGCATATACCCACAGACACACGCCCTAACCCAGTGATCCACCCCAGGGACACAAACTGACAGCCCCTCCAGGCCACCAGGGCAATAAACTCGTGTGCACACACACACACAAACACACACACCCAACACCCAAGGACCCACTTACTCACAGGTACACGCTCAGGCTCTTCACACAACCCAGAGCCAAAGAGGACACGGATCTCCTTCCCTCCGCCACACAGCTGTACCTGCGGCTCCTGAGCTAGGCTTCCGGGGCCAACGGGCAGGGGCGGGAGAGTACCTGGCCCGGAGGGGCGTGGTCTACCTGGCCCAGGGGGGCGGGGCCGTACCTGGCTCATGGAGGGGCGGGGACACATGTGGGCGGGGCAAAAGATTCCATCCATCCCCCCAAAGCTGAAACTGGTCAAATGGGAGGGGCCTATGGCAGTGGGTGGGGCCGTATTTGTTGGGAACGCCTGCAGACCCCTGCTAGAAGGAGGCTGATGATTTCTATTCATTGGACCAATGCTTAGTGACCACCTCTCGCGTTCGAGGGGTGTCTGTGTCCATGAGTGTGCAAGGGGAGGGTCAGGCTGTCAGTGCTGAGGGAGTCCCACCCGCCAGTGAGAGACACTGGACAGGGTGCCCCTCCCCCAAATAACCACCTTCACGTCCCCACCACTGACCGGAATACATACGCAGCCTGAGGCAGGGTACAGACTTGGGAGGGACCCCTGAGTAGGGCTGGCGGAAGGGGCGCATGATGGGGATGCCCTGAGGGCGTCCTCCTTAGGGGAAGGCAGCTGAGGAGGGGGACTCTCCTATGTCTGCCCGCCCCGTCCTGGTGCAGAACAATGGCCCCCCTCCTTCCCCTCTCCCTGCCCTAGCCCCTGCCCCTTTCCCTCCCCCTGAATAGGCGGAAGCCCAGCCTGTTTCCTCCTTTTCCTGCCTAGGGGCTGGGAGGGGGCAGGGTGGCCTGCCAAAGGAGGAGAGGAAGGGGGCACTATGGTACCCTTGCCTTGGGGGGGAGATCCCCCCAGTTGTCCTGACCAGCCTGGGAAATGAGCCCCCTTCCCTCATGCCATGGAGGACACCGAGGGACCCTGAGAAAGGAAGGGCAGTCCTGAGCTTCCTGACCCTTCCTCCCCAACTTCCCCTCCCCCCTCCCCTTCACACACACCACCACTCCCACCACCCCAGCCCCAGCTGCCTCATTTCCTTCTGGGGCCCTGTGAGAAGCACACAACACACCAGTCCAGACACCAGCATCAATACACACACATACTAACCCACAAACACTGATGGAGACGCTCACTAACACAGACGCACACCGCTCTATGCTCACACATACATTCTGACCAGTCCACACTGATGGGCAGAAAGTCACTCTGACCACTAGGGAGCCAGACAGAGGCCCAGACACTATTCCCGAAACAAATCGTGGGGCCACACACAGCTGAGCAGCCTGCAGAGAGGACCAGGCCTGACTTTATCCTTGGGCCATGGGCCAAGGAGGCCCTCTTCTTCTCCTCTTCCTTCTTACCTCCCAAGTAGGTAAGTCTTGCCCCCCAGAGCCAAGCTTCGAGGCTATTTTCTGTCCCCTCAGGCTCAGATAGGGCTGGGTTGTACCCCATCCTCACCAGAAACTGAGGATGGGATAGGGGTCAGTGCAGATCATGGGGTCCTGGGTCCATTGGAGTCATCCAGTGGTCAGCTGGGGCCCTGAGTCAAAACAACATTGAGGTTAGGATTAGATATGGCAAATGAAGGGTCTGGCAAAGTTAGATGTGGGTGGTGGTCAGCTGGGGCCCTGGGTCAGGGAGTCAGTCTTCTATCTGGAACCCTAGGGGCAATTATGGACCTCACGCTGCTGGCAGACCTTCGCCTCACAGACCCCCAACGCTTTTTTCTGACCTGTGTGTCTGGAGAGCCTGGGGCAGGGCGGGGCCTAGATGTCTGGGACCCTCCACTGCTTTTGGAGAAGGATGACCGCATTGTTCGGACTTTCCCACCTCGCCAACCCCTACATTCTACCAGAAATGGATCTCGTCACATCACCCTTCGGGGCTTCTCCCAGCCCTCTGACCTTGTTGGTGTGTTTTCCTGCATTGGTGGAACCAGGGCCCGACGCACACGTGTGATCTATGTTCACAATAGTCCTGGGGGTAAGCTGGGACTGGGAGTGTGGAAAGGGGCGAAATGGGGGGTTAGGGCTGATGCTGGCCCTACCTGTCCCCTGACCTCACCCTGGGCTCCCAGCCCACCTGCTCCCAGACAAGGTGACTCACACAGTGAATGTTGGAGACACAGTTGTGCTGTCGGCTCGAATCGGTACAGAAAAGCAAGAAGATGTGATCTGGAAGAGTAACGGTGAGTGTGAGCCCTCCTTGCCCTGCCGTGCGTAGGTACACACAAACACCAACACCATGGCCACACGCCAAACTATCTGTGTTGCCTGGAACACTCCTCCCCCCAGGCCTCTATTTCCCAGTTTGTAGAATGAGAAAAACAGAGTAGGCAATGTCTAAGGTCCCTCCCACATCCTGGGATTCTACAAGAGGGGCCCCTGAGCTGGAAGGGCAAAGGGGTTGGGTCATTCGTTACTCCAGCCCCGGCAGACGCACTCCATCACCGGCGCTAACAGTTGGCCACTTCCCTTCAATCCCCCTCTGTGCCAGCCTGAATGACCTCCCTCTCACTGGGAGCTGGTCAGACATTCCATGTCCTAAGTTTCACTGGCTCCCTATTGCCTAGAGGGACTTTGGATTTGGCCTGCCATTCAAGGCCCTCCACAATTTGGTACCACTTGCCCTGTCCAGCTGTGTTCCCTTGGCTCCAGCCAAGTCAGAGAGAAGGCTCCAGGAGGTCAGGGGTCCCCATGCCTAGGTGCTTGCTCGGGTGCATCTGGAGAACAGGCAAACGGTATTCCGTCTGCCCCAGCAGACTTTCCTGACCCCTGCCATTTGCAGGGGCCTGTGCTGGGCACTGAGGGGGACAGGGAGGCGGGTAGGGTGTCCATCCTCCAGAGAAGGGTGTGATGAAAGCTTAGCCAGGTGCTGCAGGATTTGTCAGGGTGGGCAAGGAGTTTTAGGAGCAATAACCAGGCCTCCGTGGGGCTGGCTATTGGAATACAGAGCCCCTCTTCCTATTAAATGATGAGCTCTCTGAAGACAGGGGCCACCTCAGTCATTGATGGATCTCGCACACACCTCCCTGTCCCCCTCAGTGCCCAGCATAGGACCCTGCACGTGACAGGAGACAGATAGAATACCGTTTACCTGTTCTCCAGAGGCACACATCATACAACCACATGCATGCCATACATACATATCATTACACACACATACCCGTACATACCACATGTGTGTGCATACCAAACATACACGTGCATGCATCATAAATATACCATACAAATTGCACACTCACACATACCACACACATTCACACATCACTATACATGTGTAACACATATACCACACACATAAACACCCACAAATGCATACATACCACACAGGCATGTGCCTGTGCATGCACCATGCACACACCACACATATACATGTACCAACCATGTGTGTACCACACATGTTCGTGCATACACCTGCCCTATACATGCACACATATACACATATGCATACGTGTATACCCTATACATACACACACATATACACATGCACACACCCTTAGGGCAGCTAGATGATGTGGTAGATAGAATGCTGGACCTGGAGTCAGGAATACTCTTCCTGAGTTCAATCTGACCTTAGACTCTTACTAGCTGTGTGACCTTGGGCAAGTCACTTAATCTTGTTTGCCTCAGTTTCCTCATCTGTAAAATGAGCTGGAAAAGGAAATGGCAAACCATTCCAGTATCTCTTCCAAGAAAACCCAAATGGGGTCACAAAGAGTTGGACGTGACTGAAACAATTGAACAACATACCCTACAAACACACACGCACACGCGCGCGCACACACACACACACACACACACACACACACACACACACACACCCTCATTCTGTTCTCACTTCACTGTCTGAGCCAGAGCCCATGTTCAGCCCTTTCAACCCTGCCCTTGATCTCACCCTCACCTCAGAATCCCAGTTCCCCAGGCCTCACCCTCCTAATGTTCAGCCCTGAATGACTCCCCTGCCTCCACAGATCCTGTGCTCCTCCGGGGATATATGTAGATGCAGGCAGAGGAAGCACACCTTTTGGTAGGTCTGGGCTCTATCACCGTGTGTCAGATTGGTCCTTTCCAGCTCCACGTCTTCTACAAACTGGACGAGGGAGCCAAACTTCATTCGAGTCACTGATAAAATGTTAGCTAGCACGGGACCACGAACACATCTCCAAAGCACTCCACTGGAGACCTCCTGCACCACGCTGACACAGACCCAATAATCACTACTCATTCACTCCACCTAACGGTGCCATCTTCCAGGCTCCATCCCTCCAGGTTGTCCACAAGGAGGCCTTGGGAGACTTTACCAAAGGCCTTACTGAAATCCAGGTGTACCATGCCCAGTGGTATCCCTGCCTTGCCCTACCCTGCTGGAAAGGAATGGGCCAGTCTGCTCTGCCTAGTTCTGGATGGCTCCATAGTAGCTCCTAGGGCACACAGCTTCTCTTGAAACTCAGCACTCAAGGGTGGATGGCATGAAAGCATGGTAGAAAGGGCCAGAGCACCTGGGAGACCCAAGCACATTTCTAGACAAATGAGGAGGAGGCCTTGAAGAGAAAGGAGCTGGAGATGCAAAAAAAGGATGAGAGCAATAGGAAGGGAGGGGGTCAGGGCCCAAGAGGAGGCTAGAGATAACAGGAGGTGGTATGGTCAGATCCGCATGGCAGAAGGATCAGTGGAGGACAGATTAGAATAGGGAGAGACTGCAGGCAGGGAGCCCAACCAGCAGCTTAGAGCAATAGTCCAGAGGTGAGGTGATAAGAAGTCATACCTGAGTCGTGGCTTTGGTAGAGGAGAGAAGGGGGCACAGGCCAGGAATGTTACAAAGGCAGAAATAACAGGGCCTCACAACTGATTGGATATGGGAGGATGATGCCTAGGTTGTGGGGTCTGGAAGGATGATGGTACCCTCCGCCCTAAGAGGGAAATTGGGAAGAGCTTGAGGGGAAAGGTGCTGAATTTACTTCTGGACATGCCAAGTTTAAGATGTCTGCAGAATATCCAGTTCAAGATGTCCAACAGGCAGCTAGAGATATAGGACTGGAGGGCAGGAGAGAGGTTAGGGCTGGACAGATAAATCTGGGAGTGATCTGCATAGAGATGATAACTGAATCCATGAGATCTGATGAGATCCGCAAGTGAAATAGCATAGAGGGAGAAGAAAAGTGTGAAGGGGAGAACACAGATGGGGGCTAGAGGAAGGAGGAGAAGCTTGGTTAACTGGATTGCCAAGTAGTGGTGAAGGCCTCGCTGAAGTTGTGAATTGCAGACCTCACAGAGGGAAGTCAGGTGTCTTATGACTTGGTCAAGCAAAACTCAGCAGCCCAGGAGTAGGAATGGATATTGTGGGAGCAGGAGGGGACCCTGGACTTTTCTTATCACTCTCTCCTACGTCTTCAAACTTTCCGTCCTCTGATAATAATAATAACTAACATTTATATAGAATTCTACATATATTATCTCATTTTATCTTCACAACATCTTTGGAAGATAGGTGCTGTTATTATCCCCATTTTACAGATGAGGAAACTGAAGTAGACAGTGGTGAAAGTGACCTGCCTAG